CTGGAAACTGCAAAGCAATCCTGTCCACTGGTCCTGTGGACCCAGGACGTTTTGCCTTAGGCTGGATAAAGCTGGCCTCTCCCTGAGGTGCCCCCCACGTTCCGTCTAGTAAGTAGGTCTCCCGTCCGTCCTTCACAGAGTGGCATGCCGAAGCTGAGGGCTGAAAGGGTGGCAGAGGCATTCCCAGGTCCCAGAGCACAGCCTGTGCCTCTGGCCCTGGCCCTCAGGCCTGCTGCCTGGGTTAGTGTACCCTCCCTGCATGTGCTACAGGCATGTCATCCTCTGCCTCTCCTTCCTGGGGGGACAGAAATCAGCTCATGGGGTCCAAAGGCTCATTGGCCAGAACTGCAGAGAATGATTTCAGAGGAGGCCTTTGACCTGGCCAGACGCCCATAATGTCTTGAGCAAGCTGGGCAGCCTGTGTCAACGTGGCCAGCACAGCCTCTCCCCATAAGGCCACACTGGTAGATGAGGGGAAGATTGCCACATTCAGCTGTCCTGGGCCAGGAAAGCAGAGAAAAGCTAAGACACAGCAGCCCGGAGATGCCACAACCCTGAGGTGCCACAGTGAGGTGAGATGCAGGTACCGAGGGGCTTGCTCGCTGCCCACAGTGTAGCCATCACCGAGGGCCTCACAGTCCCTCACCAGCCTTGACCTGCTCTGACATAGCCTAAGATGCTCAGGAGTCTCAAGCTGATAGACCCTGCAAAAGTTCCTGTCATTTCATCAAGTCAGCCATCTGCAGAGAAATCTGAGCTACACAGCACCTGAACACACATGGAATTCCACACGTGAGGGTCCTGAAGCAGGTTCACAGATGCCCAGACACCTCCCACCTCTCTCTCTCTCTCTCTCTCTCTCTCTCTCTCTCTCTCTCTCTCACTTTCTGCCCACACTATTGTGTCTTCCCAAGCCAGTTCTCAGGCCACCTCACAGTACAGCTCCTCCTGCAGCTGTCACTGCTGTCCTCAACCCTGTCCCCCACCCCCTGCAGAGGCAGAATTAGAATCAGAACAGGTTGTTAAAGAGGCAAGTACTTGGTAGGCACAGCCACTCTCTGTAGGTGTTCCCTATTCGATGACTTGCTGTAGGCAGGACAGCAAGAAAGAGAGGCCCAGTGTCCACGCCTGGCGAAGTAACCTTCAGGAGGGATGGTGGGACCACACCACCCAGGCTCCATTTCCTGAACTCCATGGCAGTGGCTTTAGCTGAGGTCCTTGCTCTTCTGCTGTACAGAGCTCAGGGGACATGGTGGTCAGCAGTCCTGTGAACGGAGCCCAAGTGCTGGCCATGCAGCGTTGGGTTCCCCATGGTGAGGCATGAGGCAGGGGTCTGGGACAGGAATGGGAACGCTGGCTGTATTCACCCGTGCAGGCCAAACTGTGGTAGGGAGCCTCCAAGCGTTCGAAGGGCCAGAGGGTGTAATGCGACCTGATCGATAAGCAGGATGGAAAGAGGAGCTCATGTTGAAAAAAGAGATCTGGGGTGCACACAGGTCCCATGGGGACAGGAGAGGTCGCAGTGAGGGCTGGTTAACCCCCGAAGTCGGGCTGGCTGGAGCAGCCAAGCTCAGGACGACCTGGAAATGTCAGCTGAGCCCAGGAACACAGCTTAGACTGAGTCCTGGGCTGCAGTCAGGGCCCAGGGCAAGCCCTCCTCAGCCCCAAGACAGGTTCTGGAGACCTCACTGAGTCCTGTCCTTTGGAAAGCCACATCAGGGCAACCATAGAGCTGGGAGGTCACATGACATCCTGGAGCCAAGCAGCTGGGATAGTAGCTTTGAAGATGGCTGCTGGGGCCAGAGCTGAGGCTCAGAAAGTACTGCCCTTTGGTAGTCAGACATCTCGGTGCCCCAGTGCAGAGCCAAGCCCATCTCCAGTCCAAACACTGTCAGCGGTCCGTCCCCCCCCCAGACCCCAGGATCCAGTGTTCACTGGTGACGTGCCATGAGCTGCAGTGACCCCACACACGGATCCGTAAGGCTCCAACTCCGCTCCCTCAATTAAGAGCCACAAACTAGAACTTTCCGCAAGCAAGTGCCAGGCAGAGACAGATCTATCAGGAGGCTGATGAGCAGGGGACTCTGCCTGGCAGTCTCCATCCAGATTTCTCCCTGGTGTCTACTCAGCTGCCCAGGTGAAGAAGTAGAATCCCAGAGAGGCAGAGTGGGTTTTACAGGCAAGTTACTGGTCAGCACAGGTGGAACCAACCTCTGGTCACAGGGACTAGGGCCTCAGACAGGCTGGACATGCTACCTACTGTCATGCCTCCCCTACAGAGTAGCAGGCTGGGGCTCCCAGCCCCGAAAGCCTGGGAGTTAGGCCAGGTACCTCCTCCCCTCCCACAGGGAGGACTCTGAAAAGCAGAGTGTTCTGTTCTTCTTCTAAGCAGACCTGTGCAGAACAGTTCAAGTCAACCCTCCTAGCTCTGGGTCTGCTCAGCTCTCAGTGACACCGGCATGAGCCGTGCACAGCTCCACTGTGACCCCTAGCTGGGCTGCTTCCTTCCTTGGCCTTTGCCCTGTCTGTGATGCCTGTCCCTCCATGATGTCTTCTGGGAGACTCACCGGGTGACATGGCAGCTAGTGACTGGGAGACAGATGGGGTGGGAGCATCTGTGTATCTGGGTTTGGAGAACCAGACACAGCAGCAGCAGTGCTCAGGCTCCCAGAAGGCTCCTGAGTCAGGTAGCAGAGCCTGGTTCATCAGGAGCTAGAACAGAAATGGCCCTAATGAGGTTGCTGGTTCTAGGTGTTTCAAAGTTTCCTCAAGCTGGATGGTGGTGCACACCTTTAATCCCAGCACTCAGGAGGCAGAGGCAGGCGTGCAGATCTCTGTGAGTTTGAGGCCAGCCTGGTCTACAGAGTGAGTTCCAGGACAGCCAGGGCTACACAGAAAAACCTGGTCTTGAAAAACAAAACAAAAAAGTTTCCTCAGAAAATTGGACATAGGGGGCTGGAGAGATGGCTCAGAGGTTAAGAGCACTGACTGTTCTTCCAAAGGTCCTGAGTTCAATTCCCAGCAACCATATGGTGGCTCACAACCATCTGTAATGGGGTCTTGTGCCCTCTTCTGCCTGCAGACATACATGGAAGGAATGCTGTATACATAATAAATAAATAAAAATATTAAAAAAAAAGAAAAAAAAAGAAAATTGGACATAGTATGACCTATCTGTAACCCCAGCCCTCACAAAGCTGAAGCAGGAGGATTGTTGTGAGTTTAAAGCCAGCCTGGATTACAAAGCAAGACCCTAATTTTAAGAGACAGACACAAGAAAAAGAGACACACACACACAGCAAAGCAGAAAGGAATGCAGGATGGGAAGCAGGGTGGAGGGCGGCTCATCTGCCTGTCACTTCCCTGAAGCCCCTGCCCACTGCACAGTGGATTAAACTGGGCACTGTGTGGCTGAACTGACTCTTACCCTACTCAATACCCATTCAGCATGTGCCAGGTCCATGGGGGTCAGAGAGGTGAACTCATCAATGCTGAGCAAACCGTGCCTATCACCTCCCAGCCTGCAAGGCTGGCAAGCAGTGGGGTTAGGTCCCCAAACCACTAGACTGTTATAAAATGCCGAGCGCATGGTGCTGCCTGCTTTTAATCTCTGCATTTGGGAAGCAGGGGCAGGTGGATTCCAATTTTTTTGTTTTGTTTTTTAAGACTTGGTTTCTCTGTAGCTTTGGGGCCTGTCCTGGAACTCACTCTGTAGACCAGGCCAGCCTTGAACTCACAGAGATCTGCCTGTCTCTGCCTCCTGATTACTGGGATTAAAGGTGTGAGCCACCACCACCTGGCTGGATACCCAATTTCTAGGCCAGGCAGTTTACATAGTGAGTTCCAGGTAAACCAGGGCTACACAGTAAGAGCCTGCCTAAAAAGAAAAAAGTATAAAAATGCAAAAGTCCCAGCTTGCAGTGGCGGCACACGCCTTTAATCCCAGTACTCAGGAGGCAGAAACAGGCGGATCTCTGTGAGTTCAAGGCCAGCCTGGTCTGTGAGAGCGAGTTCCAGGACAGGCTCCAAAACTACAGAGAAACCCTGTCTTCCCCGCTCCCCCAAATGCAAAAGCCCCAGCTCCAAGTAAACCAGAAGTTTCCTGTCTGCTGGGCCAGGCCGCCAGAGAGAAAGGACAGGTCTTTAGGGAAGTGAAATAATGTCTCACAAAAGAAATGCTGGGGGGTTTTGTGGGGTTTTTTTTATGAGTTTTTGAGACAGGGTTTCTCTGTAGTTTTGGAGCCTGTCCTGGAACTTGTCGACCAGGCTGGCCTCGAACTCACAGAAATATGCCTGCCTCTGCCTCCCAAGTGCTGGGATTAAAGGTGTGTGCCACCACCACCTGGCAAGAAATGCACTTTTAGTGTCAAAGACTCAAAAGACAGAAAAGGTCAAATACAGATGGTCACCTACAAAACCTAGATGTGGCTTGCCCGTTAAGTCTGGGTGCTGGCAGCAGCAGGAAAATGCTCGCTATACCATGGCGTAAGTGGACACTGGCAGGGATGCTGTGTTTACCTGCACAGTGCAGCTCTGTCACGAATGTTGGAAGTGTTCATGAACACCCCCTATCTACTCAGGCCCTGACACGGGTCAACTGACTGGACTCTCCATGGGGTGATCTGTCATGAACGGGAGGTGGGGCCACCTGCCCCATCCCCTTAGGAAATGGACACAGCAGGTCAGGGTGTTTTTGTTGTTTTGTTTCTGTGTGCTGGGGGGAGAGGCAGGCCCAGGATCTGCCAAGAATATATGGAGCCCATGCCCACAAAGACCTCTTAAACTGCACCCCAGTCAGGATCCAACACAATTGCTGCCACTAGCTAGGGCTAGGTCATTATGGGGGGAGGAGTCTACTGGCCTCTATGGGCTCCTGCAAAGGAAAACAGAATGAGTGCTCACAGGTGTATGACCAGCTCTGGGCACGCACGCACGCACGCACGCACGCCTCCGCTTCCTTATGCCCCTGACCTGCACTTTTTTCTGCCTCTTCCCTACAGAGTGCCCAGCATCTCCAGGAGCCAGCTGTCTCCAGAAGGTCGACCAGAGCCCTGTCACCATGCAAAACCCCTTTGCTGTCAAAGGGCTAAAGATGGAAGCGCAGCCTAAAGCCACACATCCCAGACCCAGCAAGTCTCGTCCAGCTAAACCTACAAACTGCCAGCAGCCGCGGCATCCCAGGATCCGCAACTATAACCTCAAGGACTAAGCCTCAACCTCCTGCAGGGGACCCAAGAGTGCTTCCGCCTCGGTGCTTGGAGCCTGTGCTGGTGCAGGTGTACACATGGCATGCAGGTGGCTGTGAGCACAGGCAGCCTCCCAATGATAGCCTTCCTGATGCCACCAAGCCATTAAAACCCTCCTCCTTCTGCCTGGCCTGCAAAGTTGTCTATCTTGTCCCACTGCCACCTGCCTACATGGCCACTGACAGCCACTGCACACTGACTGTGTCGTTCTCTAGAACCTGGCGGGGGAGAGTAGAGTAGCTACCTATGAAGTATGTTCTCAAAGAACATTGTGTGAGAGGTCCTCCCAGTCCGAGCCTGGTAGGGGCCCCATCACCCTAAGTACCGCAGGAACATATCCATATGCCCTTCTTCTTTTTTTTTTTTTTTTTTTTTTTGAGACAGGGTTTCTCTGTGGCTTTGGAGCCTGTCCTGGAACTAGCTCTGTAGACCAGGCTGGTCTCGAACTCAGAGATCCACCTGCCTCTGCCTCCCGAGTGCTGGGATTAAAGGCGTGCGCCACCACCGCCAGGCCTCCATATGCCCTTCTGAAAACCTCATCATGAGACCTGCCTTGACTTGAACTGTCTTAGGGCCAATTCCTGCCCCAAGTAGAACTTAAGGATGGCTTTGGCTTGGCCTTGCTGGGTTTCCTCCAAGACAGATGTGGAGAGCTTTCGGAGTGCAGGTCTCTCCCGGGTCTAGGTTTCTTTGTGACAATGACTAGTCTTGAGAATCTTTTTTTTTAAAAATATTTATTTATTTATTATGTATACAATATTCTGTTTGTGTGTTTGCCTGCAGGCCAGAAGAGGGCACCAGACCCCATTACAGATGGTTGTGAGCCACCACGTGGTTGCTGGGAATTGAACTCAGGACCTTTGGAAGAGCAGACAATGCTCTTAACCTCTGAGCCATCTCTCCAGCCCCTAGTCTTGAGAATCTTGCAGCTTCATTTTTTTTTTTTTTTTTTTTTTTTTTTTTTTTGGTTTTTCGAGACAGGGTTTCTCTGTGGTTTTGGAGCCTGTCCTGGAACTAGCTCTTGTAGACCAGGCTGGTCTCGAACTCACAGAGATCTGCCTGCCTCTGCCTCCCGAGTGCTGGTATTAAAGGTGTGCGCCACCACCGCCCGGCCCTTGCAGCTTCATTTTGCACATGTATAAAATACTGAGAGATGGCTCAGTGGTTAAGAGTATTGGTTGCTCTTCCAGAAGTCCTGAGTTCAATTCCCAGCACCCACATGCAGCTCACAATGCTTGTAACTCCAGTTCCAGGGGATCTGAAACCCTCAAAGTATAGACCGGCAAAACACCCGTGTGATTAAATAAGTAAATAAATCTTAAAAAAAAAAAATACTAACAGTGATTACTCTCTGTCTGGGCCAGACAAACATCACAGGAAAGCCCACATGAGTTATGTGGTCTTGGGTGTCACGTGAGAACCTCAGGCCTAGGTAGCAGAGATCTGCACATCATTCTTGTGTTTGTAGTAGGCTTCTCTGCAGGTGCATACACCAAGAGCCATGGGATGTCTTCACAACAGCCCACCTGGGCACACTGTGCTTCCAGGATCAGCAGGGGCAATGGAAGGCCATCCTGATGTGGCTCCTTCACAGGCCAGCTGCGCGTTGCTGGTTAGGCCACACGTATGTGAGATGTAGCCCTGCAACATGCATGGAGGGATAGAGGGAGAGGAGCAGATGTCTGCTCTGACCTCAGCACCCTACAATGGACAGGCCCAGACCCTGCATTCAGCCTCTCCTGGTTACAACCCCTCCACCCGAGTCCCTGAGAGCTGCAGACCTCTGCTGACCACTTCCTACTGACCAGCACCAGGAGGTGGGGTTGGGCAGTTCTGGCTGGCACAGGCACAAGCCTTTTGAACTGGCCCGAAAACCGAGACACCCAAAACGATCACCAAAGTGAAGACCCTTGAATGGGGGCGGTGCAGGTACGGAACCTGGGTCTCTATAGAATACACACGACAGCGGAAGATGCCAACAGCGAGGCATAAAATGGGCCTTAAAGACATGGGGGCAGTTGCTGGAGAACTTGGGGGCAAGCCAGCATGCGGGCAGAACACACCTGCCAGTCCTGTAGGCTGACCTTCCGCAGACAGCCTGGGTGGACAATCAAGTTGGGGAAGCTAGAAACCAGGGTTGACAAACAAGGCTGAAGCTCTGGCACCCGTTCGCATCTAGGCTTTTTCAGACACCAAGCAATGGACAGGCAGTCAAGGACCACTACCTCCCCCCCCACCCCCCGCCCCGCCGCCAAAAAACAAAAAGCACTGCCCCATAAGGAGGTGTCTCTTTGGTGACCAGGGAAGGGAGCCACCTCTCTGGGCGCTCCGGCGGCCCCCTGAGCAGTTCGTCTCTTTTTGGTCGGTGGGTTTGTCATCTTCCGCCCCCAAACTTGCTGACCCTTTCAAAAGAGGAATTTGAGGGAGGGAGGGAGAGGGTCCCGGAAACGAGGATCTCAGGGAGGCGCTCAGCAGCTCCTTTGTTCCCACCGTGCGGGGGAGGGGTGGTATCCCGCTCGCCAGATGGCCGCGCCTGGACCGTGCGCGGACTCCGGAGACCGCGGCATGCAGTCTGTCAGTATTCCTGATCCTGCTCACTCTACCCGTCCCTGCCCGCATCCTGGTCTCCAAGGTGGCCACCGAGAGGGTGTCCGAGAAAGCTGAGCCACGATGACCGGTAGTAACCCCGCCGGAGGCGCCCTCCGCCAGGGTCAACGACCGCGCTTGCGCGGGGGCCCGCGAAGCGCCTAGCCGCCGCTCCCGGCCCATCACCCTATTGCCTAGCAACGCCCACCCGCGCGCCGCCATTGGGCCGTCGCGGACGGCCTCGGCACCCCATTGGTCTCGATGTGGAGCAGGCCACGCCCCTCAGCTCCGCGCGCGCTACGATCGCGGCGTGAAGTCGGCGGCGACACGGGCCTGTGGCCCCGCGTGGTCCCGGTGTCTTCCGCGCAGTCCCCAGTGTGACCAAGCACGCCCGTCCCACGCCGCGCGCGCGCACCGTGCACACCTGGCCCGGCCCCGGGGGTGGGGAGGGCGGGAGAGATGAGGGCGTCGGGCCCGGGCCCGCGTGGCCTGCGCGAGGCCGGGGGCGGGAGACGGAAGCGGGTGGGGGCCGCGCGCTCCTTCGGCGGCGGCGCGCGCCCGCGCAGGGTCCCGGCTGGGGGCGGCGCGCGCGGGCATCACCCCACCGGCGGCGGCGCGCCGGGTCCCGGGGCGCAGCCCCGACGCTCATTGGCCTGGGCGGCGCAGCCAAGCTGTCAGCCCATGTGGCGTGGCCGCGCGGGGATGGCCGCGGTTTAAATAGCGCCGGCGCGGCCTAGAGGGAGCCAGAGAGACGGCAGCGGCGTCCCCATCTAGTTCGCCTGTCGCGCTCCGCGCTCGTCGTCTGCCTCCAGAGCCCAGTCAGGTACGCGGCTCCGTTCCGGGGTCCGGGGCGGCAGGCCGGGAGTGCCGTGGCTCCGGCGGGAGGACGGGCGGGCGCCGATCCCCGGTATTCTTGCGCTCACAAAAGCGCCGCCGCTCCCCTCCGACGGCCAGCCACCCGGATGCTCGGTGCGGTGCGGCCGAGAGGGGCGCGGGAGGGGTGTGCGGAGGGCCAGCGCGGCGGGCCGCTGTCACGTGGGCGCCGCGCCAGCCCCGGTGCAGGAGGCTGGGCGCCGCGTGGATGGGGCCGGGGCCTTCGCCCGCGGCAGTGGGACGCGGGCGCCAGCTCGGAGAGGCCAGATGCGGGGTCTGGGTGCGCACGAGGCCTCAGGGGCCTCAGCGGAAGTCACCGGACTATCCAGGCCTCGCCGGCAGGGTGGCGCGGAAGCCTCCACGTTAGACCTACGGCTGCAAGGCCTGGACTGTCCTGGGCAAGTGCCCTGGGGACCCGAGGACCTCATGCAGCCCCTGCTGCTGCCTCCGCCAGGTTATTATAAGGTGTTCGGCCAGGTGACGAGAGGCTTGGACTGTCCCTGCTCCGCACTTAGCGGGGAGTAGTTAGTACTCCAGGTCGGATCTTGCAGGGTCCATGGGCAGGGGCTGTGTTTGCCTCTGCCCCGCCAGACCTGGGCACTCCATAGTAGTCGGGCCTGTTCCTTCTGAATCCTCAGCAAGCCTGGCGTCCTTGCTGGCCCTGAGCAGAACCCAGTCTCCATCCCCACCTGGAGAGGGAAGCGCCGGCTTCCCCGTGGCTTGAAGTGAGAGCATGGTTGCCAGTGTTCCAGACCCATCTCTCTTTGCAAGTTCCTGATTTGACCAGTACCCAGTAGGCACTGCCTGGAGGTCATATGGTCCCATGTAACTCCAGCGAGGCATGGTAGGGTCAGGCCATGTTATGTCGGTGCGAAAGGAAGGGATCAAAACCTTAGAAGTAGCTCTCTCGGTGCTCAGAGCCCTGAACACTCGGCTCATCCAGGCTGGGTACTGCTAGGGTTTTTCTGAGCCGTGGCTCTCAGAAAGTCAGTGCAGGACACTCAGGATGCTACCTGTGGATCAGGGTCCATCTTAACCAATTGATGGCTACATTGTGGCCTTGGCTGGGAATGACTGTGTGGGGCCCACCATGCTACCTTCCCCACAGAGAAGAGCCATGGAGGAGGTGGTGATAGCCGGCATGTCGGGCAAGTTGCCTGAGTCAGAGAACCTGCAGGAATTCTGGGCCAACCTCATTGGCGGTGTGGACATGGTCACAGACGATGACAGGCGATGGAAGGCCGGTGAGTGTTCCCTAGGATCGGGAGTCAATTGCCAAGGCATTTCCTGGAGACAGTGCTCGCCCGTTGAGATTCCTGTATAGTTGTGAGGTTGAGAACCAGTCAGAAGAAAAAGGACAGATGACTTGCTTGGGTCCTTCTGAAAGTCCCTTCTGCAGCCTGTACTCTGAGCCAGCTGCCGGTGTCTTAAGATGCTGATTTGACTCTCACACCCATCGGGCTCTAACTAGAGCCCAAGAGTGGCTCTACCTGATGGACAGGTGTGAGTCAGCATTGTGAGGCTGGCCTGGCCAACCATATCAGCAGCGGGTCTCCCGTCAGGATGGAGGTGACAGGGTGGTCGCCAACCTCAGCTCTGGCAGGTGTTTTGGGACCCCTCGTTCACAGTGAGGTTGGTTCGCTTCTTTATTGGAGCCTTCCCCAAGAAGAAGGAGCTCCTTGTTCCCTGGCTTCAGGGGCTGTGATGTTCCACAGGGCTCTATGGTCTGCCCAGGCGGTCTGGAAAGCTGAAGGACCTGTCCAAGTTCGATGCCTCCTTCTTTGGGGTCCACCCCAAGCAGGCTCACACAATGGACCCCCAGCTCCGGCTGCTGTTGGAAGTCAGCTATGA